AGAGCTGGTAATATCGGAAATTGAAGTCTGGAATTTTCGCTGATATCCGTATTATTGGGGTTACTTAATTCTTTTAAAAACTGTAGGAAGCATTTTTATTACATTTCGCCTCTTTGCATTTCCCACACATTGACGGTTCTTTCACAGTCTGCATATATCTTCGCCGCGTGTCATTATAATTTAGTTTTGCCAAGGGGACTGGACGTTTGAGGGACGGATTTATAAATCGGGAAGGAATACTCACCACAGTTTCCCCATCTCTTCTTGTATACCACATCTAAAGAGCACCATGGTCTGTGGTCCCCATATCTGGTACAATCGGCATACTTTTTACTTTTAAATTTGAACGGAATACTGCAGCATTCACCAGATGTAGTCTTTATTGGACAGGGTACTTCTATGTAAGAAAACGACATTTCATGTTTACTAAGAGTTTCTTGTGTACGCTTAGCTTCCTACCTTGGAATCGATAATGTACACTTCAGTATCAATGAAAAATTTCACCTGTGTCGAGTTTCGACACAGTGTTGTGCTGCCCAAGATCTAAGCCTACGATAGTTTCAGGTTTTTGTGTATAGTCACCTCCTAGCCATAACTATTTTGTTCCTTTTTTGTTACTCGTAACTTGCGTAACTAATATTTAGATGTTTCCTTCAGTTTCAAGGTATTTTTCTTCGTCGAATTTTTTTTACTTGACTGAGGTTCTTTAAATCATCATACGTCGCATAACCCAAAGCTAAATGTGGCATCGTAGACTGCAATTCAGGCAAATCTTTCGGGCCAGCGAACGCGATTGCGCATAGCCACCTGATCACTAGGACATCAGAGAGTGCGATCCATACCGTAATTAGCAGAAGTGAAAAGGGCGAATAGGGATGTAAGGTGGAAAACAAAAAGACCGTTATCCCGCCTGTCTCCCCCGCCCCCACCCCCTACCAAATCCAAGTGAATTAGAGCTCTCCCCAAGACCCATTCCTTCAAAACACGTCGGCACTGTGTATGAAGGCCGAATTAGGTATCGTGTGATTGAGCTCAAGAGAGGGAGGGGTCTTGAGGTTTTTCAAAGAGAACAAAAGGTCACACCTACCACAATCTCCCCATCTTCCTTTAAACACAGGGTCTAAGGAACACCAAGGCCTGTGGTGATCAGCTTTGGTGCAGTCCTGATATGAAACGTCTTTGTACTTGAAAGGAAAACGGCAGCATTCGCCAGATGTGGTGTTGACGGCACAAGGAACCTCTGAGTAAAAGTACACATTTTTATGCAAAACTCTCTCACTCTGACTTTGTCATCATCCATATTGTCATATTGTAAAAATAACCACAAGTTTGCTGAGCTTTGTTTCTTGACCGTGTCAGGCGTGGAGACACCCATCAGTGGGTGGAGAGGGGTGTCCAAACCTCCGTGCCAACCACCCCGCTCCCTTCCCCCGTACCTTTCATTCCCTTCTTCCTCGACGTTTTTATTGTCCTCTTCGTTTCGGCCGTCCTTCTTCTCGATCGACTGCATTGTTGCGTAAATTGCCTCTATTCTCGTGCATGATGGATCCTAAATCTGACTTTTTTTCTCGTCCTATACTTTGTAAAATCAACTTAATGTTTGTTATTGTTTTTGTTTTGTTTTGTTTTTGTTTTTGTGTTTGTGTGTTTTTGAAATTCCATCCAGATGAATACTGATCGTAACAGAGAGAAATTAATAACTGTTTACTGAGAGCCATACTAATTTTCTCTACGGTGTACTTACTACAATCTCCCCATCTTCCTCTATACACAGGATCCAATGAACACCAAGGTCTATGATGATAAGATTTAGTGCAATCGTAAAAAATCTTTCCTCTATACTGAAAAGGAAACCTGCAGTATTCCCCGGATGTGGTCATTACGGCGTGAGGCTTAGCTAAACAAAGCAAAAATTATGAGAACAATGAGACGGATATCGCGTCAGTTGATTATGAAGGGTAAAAATAAAGGGGAAATGATCAAAAGGGTGGGCAATTTGGGCAATTTATCGCCGTGTAACAGCAGTAATGAAAGTTATCAGAACCCAGAGCGAGCCCAATCCAAGTTATTTCGCCAAGAGGAACTTTGGGGAAAGGTCGAATGTAACCGCACCTAATAATAATTATTAAATTTCCATATAGCGAAGTAATTATTTTTCACTGATGCAGTCAGTTGGTCAGTGATAAGTATGTCTATAATAAATAGGTTAAACAGACAAAGTTCTTTTCCCTTACCTGACTTAAAAAGAAACAGCATTGACGTCATTGAAATGAAAAGTAACTTCATTTCTGGTTGTTTTTCCGGTGATATATGAATGCAGACTGAAGGTGCACGTACTTTAAAATGTCATCAAGTCCTTAGAAGCGCTCCAAAGATAGGATGCATGCGAAAAGTCATATTTTAACGTTGTAGTAAGTGTTCAGTGCTACAATAGCCAGAACATTTAAATTGAGGGAAAGTTGTGGGAGAGATAATCAGGCCACCTGCCTCTGAGCAGACACCGACTAACAAGTCAACCATGATAACAAGAGAGGATTGCAATCACTAAAAAGAAATGTCCCCTAGCTGTGTTCCCGACAACTGATGATTTAGTTCCAAAAAGTCTACGGTACAGAAAAATTCATTTATTCTCATACATTTATACTTCTCTTGCAATTTGTAGAACACCATGCACGAACAAAAACGCTCCAAATACGAACAACCCTTTCTTCACTTTTCATCTTGATTAAAGCAGTGAACCTGCTCTAAAACAATGAATAAAGAGGATTAAAAGAAACTAAAAAGAATTGCCCAAAAACTATGAAAAAATTTCACCTCTAAGCAAGAAAACAACTTCATTATCTTGGGCAGTGGACCAACGTAATATAGAATATGAAAATATACGGATACTCAGTTGCATCTTTCCCCAAAAATTGCTTTTGTTTACCAAAAACTATCCGGTACAGAAACGCTTATTTATATTATCACTAGTCTGAAATGTCAGTGGTCTCCACCCCCTAACCCGCTGGGGGAAGGGCGCGGGGAGAGAGAGACAACGTCTTTCACCCCGCAGGGGGTGGAGACGGTTGATATTTCAGACTATATTTTGTAAGTAACTAAAATTTACCTCGTTTGCACTTAAAAGAATACTATGCATTTGCTAGAACGCTCCAAATAAAAAGAACCAATTCTTTATTCTCTATGATGATTAAAGCAGTTAACCTGCTCTCTAACAATGGATATATAAAGAGGAATTAAAATTACTGAAAAAGAAAGCCACGAGGAGTGCCTAAAGAGATATAAAAAAATAATTACTTCTTAGCTGGAAGACAACTTCATTATCCTGGGCAATAGACCAACGTGAAATAGAAGAGTGTCAGTTCTCTCCGCTGCAACTTTCATGGTTTGATTTGGTGTTCGTTTATAAAAATAAATCAGTAAATCAATTAACCAATTAACTTTTTTATTGCTAACCAATAAAAACTTAGCTCACCTAAAGAGTTTTCTGAAGAGCTACCAACAGGGAAGACTATCTGGGGCCCGTTTCTCGAAAGTTCCGGTAACTTTTCGGGCCCGAAAACAAATATTCAAATCGAAATATAAAGAATAAGAGCGCCGGTCCTGGCTAGGAGACTAATCCATTCTATTTCACTAACTGATAGTTTTATCATGCTAGATGCAAAACTATTGAAACCTCGATCTTTAATGTAAACGAAGACAGCTTACCGGGCCCGTTAATTATCGGGACTTTCGAGAAACGGGCCCCTGGTCTCTCAAATCTATCTATTTTACGGATATTTCAAGTTCTTGGTATTAACTAAAGTTAACCAAAAAAGTCCAATTTTTCAAAAATCTTAAAAATATGAAGAAAAATCCATGGATAAGATGTGGGGTTGCAGTATGACCTTGCTCATAATTTAAAGGAAGATCAATTGGTCTGGATGGAGGCATTGAATGGAGCACGAGTGACTTTTAATAATTAGTTATCTCGAGATTCTGACAGGTGGGAGCCTGCATATTGAAAAGCATCATGATTAGCAGTTTCCCTTCACAATAATAACAGTACTAATGAATAATTTTAATAATGATTTTGATAATAATAATGATAATAATAATAATAATAGTGTATTCATTTAGTGCACGCATCCAGTAACTGTTCAAGGCGCTTCACAAAGATAAAAATTAAATAAAACTAATATGCTAAAAACTAAGAATGATAAAGAATAAGTTGAAAACATGCTTAATCTAAGAATACGCTAAAAAGCTAATAAAATGCGAAGTTCAGAATATGCTAAAAAACTAAGACTAATAAACTCAGAATGTGAAACGAATGAACTAAAAAGTGAAAATAATAAGCTAAAGAACTTTAGAGTCTGACGCAATTATTTTTTATTTTTTCATTCTAGTTCCCAGACCTCACGCTTTTGCGTAATACAGAAGGGCTCTTGGGTCGAGAATGCAGCCTTTTCATCTATAAGGACCTAGAGAGGACCTAGAGAGGTGACTTTGAGGGAAGTTGGGAACCAGGGAGCTTATGCAACGGTTACGGAAACGACAACATTTCCTCAAAAGGGAATTCGCGCTGTTTAAAAACTTCAACACAATTATTCCATTTTGTTCAGTTTGTCAAATGAAGGCGATTTATTTTTTTAAAGAACCGTATATCAAAGTTCAGGAAAAAAAAAAGCTTTGCCTTCGGGACATTTCCTCCCTTCAAAGTTGTTATATCGATAACATCTAGTTTCGCTTACTTTCAAAGTTATTTTTTGTTAATTAGTTAAAGTCTCAACCATTAGCCGCCCGGTTAGCTCAGTCGGTAGAGCATCAGACTTTTAATCTGAGGGTCATGGGTTCAAGTCCCATATCGGGCGACAGCACATTTTATTTTCTCATTTGTTTATTTATTTTTTTATTTTTTTATTTATTTATCTCACTTTATAAATAGGCTATTTTCACGATGACGTTTGACTACCACTACCAGAATTCATTTCGTTTTTGCTTTCTTATTTAAATTTGTCAATCCTGCAGAGGTTTAAAAAACAACAGCCTTAATTTGCACAAGAAAACAACAAACTGAAGCATTCTGGTAATTGTAGTAAAATGGCGTCATCGTGCAATTGTCCTAATATTGCGCTTACTTGCAAAGGATCGGGGTAACACTTTGAGAAAAAAAAAGCAGTTTAAATGTACGCAAATGAACATAAAGGGACTGTATGCAGAAACCCATTATGGGCTACTGTTTTTTAGTGTAAAACCTCTCTCTCCTCACCCCACTCACGAGAAAGCGTCTTGTGAAACGTTGTATCATATGTCCATCTGATGACAGTCCTACAGAATAAAACGTGGTTGTGCGAGATCAATGGATCTACCCTGATCACCAGAAAGAGGAAAGATTAGATCTAGATGGAATCGGAGACTTTCTTTCTTTTGGAAAGATGCAAATAAGATTTCACATGACTTTGCAAAAAAAAATTCTTGGCCCAGATTTGTATTTCTGTCATATTTCGTGGAGGAGTTTTCTTCCGCGGTGTCCCCGTGATATTTTTCACATGTGATTTTTTTCCTGGCTCCTGACAAGCGAACAGTTTTGCCTGATTTGAATTATGACGGGTCAAATACTTTTATTTTCCCTTAACAGTCCATATTCGAAATCAGATTGATTTTTAAGACTTTCAGCAAATGTTTTGCACTCGCTTTCACAATAAAAGTCCTACAGTTCTGTGCGGCTATGAACAATGTTTTGTATGTTTGATGTTTTTCTCTAGTTCTTCCATTTTCTTTCTAAGAAGCTGATTTCGTCTTTCAATTCTGCTGGACTTTACGCGAATGTGCTGAGTTTGTTGGTGCGGCTCGTCAATATCCTCCTCATTTTCAAACACCCCCGACCACTGTTCCCCAATACTCGACTGTGACCTTAAAACTTCATCCGATGCTGAGAAGCTAAGGAGGCGAAACCTGCCAAGAGACTGGGTCCTACGAAGTCGCTGGTCATCTCTTTTTTGTTCAAGTGGAACCTTAAACAAAATAGGTTGAAACTGATTAAAGTTCATCATATACTAGTCTACGGTGACTATCCTAGTTTAGTATATACTAAAACAGTGGATAGTATATACTAAAACAATTATTCACCTCAGTGTCAGTGGCTAGTGGTAAACGCGGCCACCTCCACTTTGGTGAATAATTGTTATTTGTTGCCGTTGTTAGAACAGAGGTACGGGTATAATATTTCGCTTAAAAATTACTCGGCACAAGACTGAATATGGATCGTTTTCAATGAGTCATGGCGGCCATATCGGTGTACAGGTGTTCCAAACCAGCCGTGTTGGTTTACCAAAAATCATTTAACGAGGGTTCGTTATATCGAAAACCTCGATTTAACGAATTTTTGAGAAAACAATCATAATGTTTGTTATATCGAGGTAAAGTTAATGATTAATTTCCAACGCCTAGCATTTCCGAATCCGGAAATTTTCTGTAATAAACATTTGCATCCGAAGCTATTGTGTCAGTTCTGAGCTGTACGCAGCTACGACCCAAGAAACACAAGAATACGCAAACAAAACTGCTTAAAACTACTTTACACATAAATTTCATCCTCGTTGGTCTGTTTGCATACATCTTTAGCTATCTTTTGGTCACATGTTGAAATTTATTCGTTATATCGAGCTATATTTGACGTTTGCGTTTCTGGATTGTGTTCGTTATATATAATGACGATTTCGTTACATCGAGTTTCTGTTCCGTTATATGGAGGTTCGTTGAATCGATGTTCTACCGTATCTGCCGCCAAAATATTCCTTTTGTTTCAAGAAATTTGCATATTTGTTGAACAAGTGAGCGAAAAATTACATATATTTACGTTATAACCAGAAGTTGATTTTTAAGCGCTTCGTTTTCAAAGACTGTTCAAAGTCCCACCTGTCATCACACTCCCCACGGAAAATAACCATACAGTAAAATTCCGTGGGTAAGAGCCTGTTTTTTTAAGAACCTCTGGTTGGGAACTATTGCCAGTTTGCACGTGACGTCACGACGGCCTTGTTGGTGGAAGCATCTCTTTCCTCTGGGAACTAAACTCTATTTTCATGTAAATTCTATTGTATTGACCCCAACGTGGACGCCTTGTCACGTGGTTGCAAACCAAGAATACAAGAACCTGTTCAGCTTAAAATTTGAAACAGGTTCTTTTTTTCTAAAATCTATTTTTACTGAATGCTGTACACCTGGGAAAATGAGATAAGTCAACATTCAGCATCCTCTTTAGAGACATCCTTAATTTGTGCTAATTACAATTTATGTAAGAACCTCTCTAGGCTAACTTGAGAAAATGCAGCTTCTTACTCGCGAGATTTCACTGAATCCCCAGTTATCAATCACAATAGGAAGCCAGTCTGTGTAGGGATCCAGGGCATACGCAACCTTATTCCCCACTCCAGAAACTAAAAGGGAATGGGTACAAGCTTTCGGCGCAACGAGTTCTGGGATCATCTGGGTTAACAAACGTTGCTTATGATTGGTGGATGGTATTCTAGGCAACAATTAACCAATTATGAGTAACGCTTGTCCGGCCAAAACGAGGAAAGAACTCGTTGCTCCGAAAGCATATACCCAATCGCCCTAAAAAAAAAGTTTCTGGAGTGGAGAATTACAATGAGGGAAGAGGGGATCCCAACCCGTACAAATCTAGTAACTCATTGAAATCCAGGATCCCTAAAAATCTATTGACGACTCTCAGCTCATGTACTTGAAGTCCAGCAAACGAAAAGATGGTACCATTATTTTTTAATGCAATAATTCCCAAATATAGCATTGTAAACTAAAGGGATAAATCATGAAAGATGGTAAAATCTTAAGATAAGACCATGCACAAAAACAAGAACTTTGGCTGACAGTGTCAGAATTTTACAATTGTCTTAACATGGATATTCATTTTTGTTTTTTTTTTTTTACTTTACTAACCTCGGAAAACGTCTTGGATCGATTCCGTCTACCTGCATTCAAGGATACCTTGCGCGTTCGAACGTTTATTCCTGTTGCTGGGCGTTCGACCTGAATTTTCAAATAAAAAGTGACAAAAAAACGGGATTAAAATATATCACCTTTTGGTCATTCCTGTAGGAAACGGTGACAATATAATCCATGAGGGTATATGTTAATTGAATTATCCATCAAGATCGTTTATAACCACGCGAGGATACTATATATCTAGTATGCAAACTTTCGTTAATTAGTTCTGGGAATTGTAGCACAATGAACTACGCCGGCCTTTCAACCTACCTTAATTATTCAATGTTTAGAGGATCGGCCTGCTAATTTTGTAGAGTTCTTCCTGACCTAGACTCATATAATTAAAGGTTTCCAGCCTAGCTAGATAGAAAAACTTCTCGAAAAACGAAAGAACAGTAAATGGAAGGCAAAGTTTTCACACGCCGGGTTTTTTGAAAATATTTAACGTATAGCTCGTTTGACCAAGAAACAGTAACACTGCTCTTTCTAACGTCTCGCCTTGGGTCAATGCTTATCTGAGATGTGACAACTTTATGAGCTTTAAAGCAAAAACTTCTATTGAATTACTTCTAAAGGTTTATCGGAAGATTGACATCAATTTTACCGTCAGCAAGTCCTAAATCGCCACTATTAATTTTCTTCTAATTCCTACCTTTTCAGAAAAGCTGTTCCCCTCTGTCTTACTTGTTTTTATTTCCTCCTCCTTTGTCTCTTCCACGCCTGGTACATCTTCATTCCCACTTACAGTCTTTTTCTTCTGGCGCTTTAAGCGTTCTCGTTGTTTCTCCAAGTTTTCAACATCTTTCTTGAAATCTATCAGCTGCTGTTTGCACGCGTCATGAACCTCGTGAATTGAGGTGTACCATCTGCGCATGTCAAATAGAAAGTAACAATCAATACAACATTAGAGACCTTTAGCATGATTCAAGGACGAGAACGACTACGAGTACGAGATTTGATTTAAAGTTTTTTTCGCCTATTGAAAAAAAAAATAGACACCCCGGAGTGCTTCACTGTACCCTTTTTACCATAAACGTTAGCACTGTTATCTTTATTGAAAGATTAAGCCCTGTCCCGAACAGAAAACGATAAAACTTCCAAGATTTGATAACTGCCACTACGACATTCTCACTATAAAACTCTTAGTAGAAAGACGTCAGCTATCACATTTTGCCGCCAAAATGACGCTACCCGAGTTCACGCACGAGCACTACTTAGTATCAAGAGAGAATGATCTAGCTCATTCTCTCTTGTTAGTTTGAGAAAATCTCGTAGTCGTCCTCGTCCCAGAATCTAAAGCTCTCCATTAGCAAGGAAAAGCGTAACGAAACTTTGAAGGCGTTGGCGTGACCTATTTGCACAGATTCTTAATTTTAATGGAAAATGCTTTTGGTTACTTTAATTTTCTTTTAATACATTTCAAAATAACGAAAAAATTACAAGTGCCAGTCGGAGGAAACTCAAAATTTTGAACGTACTCGTACCGATTCAAGGCGAGATTTAAGATTCAGTGATTGGGAAAAACAATAGGAAGAGGAAGAGGACGAAAAAACTGACTTAACTCACAGTCTCGGTCGAAACTGTTGGGACAGTTTTCCGTCTTCTTGCCCTCCCAATATTGGTGTCCCAACTATTTTTGTCTGAGACTGCAGATGGTGCGGGTTAAAGTGACCAACAAAAATAGGTGTTTAACTCCCGGGAAAGGCTTGCTAGGAGTAGGATATCTGGCATGTTTAACAGAAACACGCTTATGCGGTATGGCTCAAAAGATCCTGTTTGCCAACGCGCCTCCTCCCTCTACCCCCTCCTCCCTTACAGGCAATGTCAATAATCTTTGAAGGTGATAACGTCACGAGTGGTACAAGGGACGTGGATTTACAGGCTACTTGCGGTTGAGGTGTGATTGGGTTAAAATAGGTGGAAACAAATGCGTGTTGAAAGTAAAAGTAGTCAATAGACGAAGACTAACAATAACAATTGCTCCAAAGTAGGTGTTCCTTTGATTCTATAAAACAATGGTGCTTCTGTAAGCTTTAGAATGTCCCTTACTGAATGGAAACAAATGTGAATACTGTAATTGTTGGGCCTATAATGATATCACAGATTAAAGTCTTATTTAATGGGATATATTTCTAGAGGTTGCCATGCAGGTCTCTAATTGATACGTATAAGCAGGTTCCAAGAGCCGGATCATAGTTTTCACCCGTTCGTATTAAATTATAGGGGCCAACAGCATTTTTTATCCCAAGATAAGTGAATTTCAATTTTGAAAACGTCTGTTCAACAATCACAAGATCGAAACGGTATCTTCCTCGTTGCTATACTGATTCTCAATGAAATATTGCAATTCCAAAAATGTTGGACATGCATGTCCGGAGGATGCTCAATGAAAGGATAGTTACCGTGAGATGGACTCCAGCTAAGAAATAATAAGGGGGACCACCAAAAGATCGATCGAGCATAAGGAGGAGCACATGGAAAAGCACGGAAAAGATTCAGTGGCGGGGTATGATTGTGACCTGTTTCCCAACCGGGACAAGAAGGGTAGAAAAAACCTGGTCGGCCCTCACCAACGACGCAAGCATAAACAAAAGCATAAGAAGCTTGTGCGCTAGTGAGGAAGGCCTTGATGAAAACATATGCTTCAGTATAGGCTTGAGGTGTAAATTAAAGGGACACAGTCAGCTGATTGCACATGCGCATTAGATACCATTTCAAGATCGTGAAATCTTGATTTTTCCAAACGTATGTAACCCTTTCCATCGATTTCCCAAATACATATAACGATTATTTGCTCGCCAATGTTATTGATTCATTTCTTTTGTTTTTTTAGTAAACGAAAGCGATTTCTTCCGCCCGGCGCCTACGCGTTTCTCATCTCTTCTGTTCATGTTCCTTTAGATACTGTTTTTAACCAAATATGATAAAATAATGTCATAGGATGGGTTAAATTTGCTCAAAAGGAGGTTTTCCTTAAAAGATCGAGGATCGAATGAAACACTAGGCAAGATTGAAGCGGATTTCTAGATGTAGCCGACGCGTACATTTGATTTCGGGTTGAAGTAAACTCTTTTCAAACCGGCAAAAGTAGTGTCCAGGTCAGCGCGTCCCATAGCTGACTGTGTCCCTTTCAGTAGCCAATGGGCTGGCAATTTGAAAGGGTCAGACTACACATATTTTTTTGTGCATTACTAGGTATCTAAATCTAGTAACTGCTGATCAGTGGGATAATATACCTTAAATGTGTGCAATTCCACGTTTGCTTTCGGTTTCCTTATCCTATCCTATAGCAGATGCAAAACATTTTACGAGCAACGACCAGCAATGCAAGTCTTACTCATTCCTTTAGAAGCTTGAAGTATAAGTACAATGACAAGGGTAAGTTTGATATCTTTTTTATACAACTAAGATAGTACGCGCGCTCTGATTGACCGAGAGGGGTGTTTGCATGTCTGTCAACATGGTTGTGACGTCAAGATGTTTTGCTTTTCGGGCGCTAATCAGGCAAGCACGAATGTGAAAATTTTTTTGAGTTGAAAACTCGACAAGTTCACTTTATTTACCCATTTCCTCGTCGGCTGAAACGTGGAAAATCATTACAAACATGCTGTGTCAATTTGTTTCGCTTAAGCTGACATTTTAAGCGAGAAAAATCCATATTTTAGAAAGCATCGTTTTTGCAAAACAAGAACTAATTACGCGTTTAAGACTTCATGATAAGAATTGCTATTTTAATCAGGGCCATAACAACGAACTTTGCGTTTTCTCTTGGAAATTTAATTTATGAAAGAAACAGAACACTTTTTTCCTGTATTTGCATAGCCTGATATAAACACTCGAGGGGTTGGGAGAATTCTCGACAATTATGAAAACCCTCGACTTCGTCTCGGGTTTGCATAACTATCTCCAGTGTCTCGAATTCTCCCAACCCCTCTCGTGTTTACATCAGGCTACGCAAACACGGAAAACGTCTTCTATTGCTTAAATTTTAACCCATACTGCATCGGATCGATGTGTGGGTTCTTTTTTGCAATGATGCCAAGCAGAAGCATCCAGATAAAGAGCTAACTACTGAACTAATAGAGAAAGGTGACACACAAATATATCAGTATTAGTAAATCAGCCGGTGGACGCAATAAGGGGGAGAAAGGGTACCTGATACTGCTGTTAGGCCCCATTAAATCCTTAAGCTAGTTGTGAAGTACAAATAAACTTTCATTGTTTTCCTAAAGTGTCATACCAATGATATAATTAACTTTATTTACCAATGACATTAACTGTACCTTTCAGAAGGCGCAAGTTCATCTTCATACTTCCTGATCTCTTCTTCGCTTTCTTCCGTGACGTCATTCAGTATAGGAGTCGGCGTTCGACTCGTCCTCTTCGACGGCGTCTTCCGGCCTGCGGCCAGTTGTGATCCGTCAGTATCGTCATTTCTTCCAGTTGTTGACCCAGTATCAGGTGACCAATCTTCAATCACGATAATTGGTGGTTGACCTGTGTCGTCGCTTAACTCCTGAGCGCGTTCACTCTTCCTCCTTTGTCGAACACTGCCCATCCACTTGCTGGCGGCAAACGAAACATTCCATAGATTCAAACCCGGGCTCTTGGCGCCAGAATTTTCTTCATCCGATGAGCTGGGATCCAGGACGTCAAAGATGCTCCTATCAAATCGACGATAGCTTTTGGGCGAAAAACGTCGACCGGGAATTCCCGTGTTGATGATTTCTTTGATAACTACATTAGGTTTCTGAGCGACAGATTTCTCGACTGCAATTGCACCCGACGGAAGAAACCCTGGGTTATCTGTCCTACTTATCACATTTATGGTAGCTTCTTTCAGGGACGTTTTAGTATTTTCTGAATTTACATTTGTACCAATTAATGCATTGAAATTCCCGGATTTCTTCCATTTAAAAGTTTGACTGTTCTGCTTTTTGTTCTTTCCTCTTTCCTCCTCTTTCCTCTCTTTTCCACTATGAGATCGCGCTTTTTTCACTGTAGTTCTTACTTTTGAGCGTGGTAACTGATCTGTGTTTGCAGAAGCTAATTCTGTAGTTTTCGGACGTCGTAACACATCCTTGTTTACTTTAAAGCTCTTTGGTCGGCGAGATAGTGTAGGCGACTTTGATTTTTCTTGGAATTTACGGGACTTTCTCGTGGGCGCACTCTTGGGTTTAAACATTTCAGCCGTCCTGAATTTGGTCAGATCCTGAAATGGGCTGGATCTGTTCGAGGGGAATGAAGGGGACATTGTGTTGTCACTGTTATCCTCCGATGATCTTCTTAGTAACAGGACGGCTTTTACGACCGCAGCAGCGCTACAATTCAAAATGGCGGATGATCTTCGTCTTGAGGACCTAGGTGTTACGAAGAGTTGCTCGGTTTTCTTCGGTGCGCCAGGAATCTCATCATCGTGGTTTGGTATTTTTAACGAAATCCTGCAAGGATTTAATTAAAACAATACCTTAGAGGTTTATTATTTACTTGTTAAACACGTTTTTGAACAGTCCTCAGAATCAGGGTGAGGGATAGGGTGAATTCCCAAACTTGGCAGTGCTGGCTCTTGAAAGGCCCTGTTTGAAAATGTGGTGGTGAAGGTGATGATGATGATGATGATAATGATGATGATGATGATGATGATGATGATAATAACGATAAGATAATGACATTAAGAGCTATGATGATGCTGATAATGATGACCCCATAAAGAGGTCTAGCAATGGTGATGAGTGTAGGATATCACCTCCTCCTGGTGGACCACATTTTCCAATAATTTTGCATTCATTTAGCACTCGCTAACAAAAATAAAAATTTTGGTTACCTTTTGGCGTCTCCGTATTCCACAGCCCTTGAGAGTATGGGTGTTATCTCGTTCCTATCGATTGCCGTGTTACATTTTCCCGCCATTTCCAGGAGCTCGGTTATAGTGCACCTCTTAAAGCTCTGCCAGATATCACTGTCCCGGATGTACTGCTTGATGTCGGCATCGTTGAAGAAATAGCGACGGTTTTCACGAAGAATGCGAATAATGTTTTCGTTTGCTTTTAACGCCCAACTAAAAAGTAGACAAAAAGAGACATTTTTTTAAATTTAATTCCTGGCGTATAACTACGTTAAGTTGTTGATCATTAAGTTGTTAATTTACGCTTATACTAGTGCTGATGAAAAATGATCTCAAGTCTTAAAATTAGCAATTCTCTGACGAAAATCACTTTCTGGCTATCTCTGGAGTTGCATGCTACTCGTAAACGAATACACAAACCAGTCTTTTACAGCACTGGAGCAAGTTCTTATTTTAATTCACCGGGCTTAAAATATTTACATTTATGTCCAACTATATCGTACTTTCCCAGGAGTCCTGTACTTTGCAGTCCGTAGCAGTTAATGCAGGATATATGTCTGTCACTTGAACATAAGAACTTTTATGGTCTTACTTTCTAACTATTGCAGTTTTACACCTAACGCCACGGTAAAGATGTTGGTTGAAAATAACCAAAGCGATTCTGATCTAAACCTAAACTCTTTTTTGAATAAATTTTGCGAAAAACAATTATCGTTTTGAACATAAGTAACACGAAAACAAAAACCTTACTTACTTGTTAACTAGAAAGCAAGTGACTGGACCGATGCTTGCAACGCTGCAAAAACATGGACTGGAGTCGAGAACAGTTGACTCGCCAAAGAATTGACCTACAATATAATGAATTAATTAAAACTGGTTACGTAGGGTAATAGGACTCTTTCTTGTTTGCTTTTCTCCAACTCACTTAAGCATCCCCAACTGAGCCCTTTTTGCTAATTAACCTGCTATCAGGTGGTCTTTTTTCCTATTTTTCTTTGGTTTATTTCTATTTTTCTTTGCCCTCGCGCTTCCTCGAAAAAAAAGGCCTGATCGCTTGTTACCTTTGTGCAGGCTGTCTATTCTCCACTTTTCCTATCCCCCAGGGGAAAAAAGCGTTACAGCAAGAAAGTCAAGAAAGAAATCTGGGTCGTCCACGTGCCTTTGCAAGCCCCAAGTTGTGACAATGTCGGATATTGGCAAGAGAGTACTGTAAGTGGTATCTTACTAACAAAGTAAAAATCATTCAACTTCTTTTGACTTTCTATTTTAATTATCAGACTGTAACGTTTCCCGCGTTGTATCTATTTGTTTTTTCGAATGAAACTTCTGCATTCTCGTTCCATGCAGCCTTTTCTAATGGGTCGCACACACATGATTAACTCTACCTAAATGGGATATAATTATAAGAGCCTTAATGTACCTAACGATTTTATATCGGATTTAAAACTCGTTGTGTGACTTACCCTTTTCAATTTGTCCTAGTTTTACCAATTCTTCTCTGTTAACCTCTTCAATAAAGACGCTTCTGTAGTACTGACATCTACCTGAATTAACCAATTTACACAAGTAGAATAAGGCCTAACCTGTCCATACTAACGCCTTTTTTAAAACATGCGTTTTCGTTGTCATCGAAAACGCATCGATCGATTCGCGTCCATACTACCATTTTGAGGCGTTATCGACTGTCCACACTTAAACGTTCGAAAACGATAGAATTTCACGTTGTGACGTAAGCTGAGCTCTATGCACATGCTGCACACACGTGCCTGCGATATCTTTGGTCATCGTTTACATTTTGATTCGTTTTCGACCGTCTTCTCTTATGCGATATGATTGCGTTTTCGTTTTGATCCACTTTCAAGAACGTGTTCAAATCAATGCGTTTTTGTTTATGCATTGTATATTTCGATGCGTTTAGTCCTTTCGTCCACACAAGTACGCTGAGAGTTTTCACCGAAAACGCATCGTTAAGAAGGCTAGGCGCCAGAGCCAATCTACATTGGCCTTAAGTCAACAAGTAAAATGGTGTCACGCGCAGAGAGTCTCAGTACTACGTCAGGAGCCCATAACCCGGAGCGAGCAACTCCCATACTAGGCCTATGTCACGGCGTTTTTACGGACCAGTTTATTTTTAGGCACATTTTAGGGCACTTTTTCCCGCAAAAATAAAATATGGGTGCACTCGAAGTATAAGATATCAAAAAGGAAAACTAAACGTTATTAAAAGGCAAAAAATATCATTTTTGAGTCTGTAGGTTTTGCTGACAGACTGGTTTGTGGAATCTAAAAGATATTCAAAATTCGCCCCAAAACCGTTCTAAAAATAAACTGGTCCGTGAAAACGCCGTGACACGAGCGCATGGAAGTTGCTCTTTCCGGGTTATGGGCTCCTCCTACGTCACGCAACAATACCTTCTTTCCCCTCGAATCATGTCGTTTCTTTTGGTCACGTGGTTTGTACAAAGTGTGGACGAGAATGGCAACAGCGATGCGTGGCGAGGCAAAGAACGGCTGTGTGAGAAAGCACATGGAAGACTGTTCTCTTTTAAAAAAATTAAAGCAACCTGCGTTCAACAGATTTTTCATAAAGTGACATTTGGACATTACCTTTTGCCACAAAAAATAGATGTTCTGGCCGATCTCCCTGGTTCACAATAACTTTGCCCGCTGGATATTCCTAACGAGAACAAGTAATGGAGTAATATAAATTAAAAACGAAAATTAGCACATTTCGAAACTAAGGCTGTAATATTAAGTGTCCCTCTGTTTTCGGGTTTCATAAAGTACGACATAGCCGCAAGTCTCATAATGTCAGGTTTTACTCAGGAAAATTTGCTCAACTGGAAATAAGCTTGCCGAAGTAAAATGTGATAGGGAAAAGTTGCCATTCATCTGGCTTGAGTTCATTCCGGTTTCCATTGGCTGAGGCGAAGAGAACGTAACAACCTCTACTCCTCCATAAAAGGGATGCTTGTCTTAGAATCGACAAACTAGAGAAACAGTAAACAAAACCGCTTTGGCAAGCTTTTAAAATTAACAAAACAAACACAAATGTCACCAGCAAAGCCAAATATTGTGATAAGGCCGAGATCAAAATTAAGACTTTTGATCTTTCCAACCATCAAACACGGGAGAGTAAGCATGTGGTTCAATCAAATTTAACGAAAGTCTATATTTCAGCAAGAGAATGACCATAAGAAAATAAATTGCTTCGAAATGATGAACGTGTCATTGGTTCTAACGTAAGATCACCTATTTAGGTCACGATAATTACAATCAGTAAAATGGGACTTAATGGGCAGCCTGTCGTTACGATAAAATGTACAGTTTTCGCTTTTATTGATGTTTTAAAAAGTATGTTAACAAGTTACTCCAGTTATCTCTTAAGACTTACGGTTCCTTTTTGTCCAAGGCCGATTGAAAATTCACATACAAGCAACATAAAAATGCAAACTAAAGTTCAAATTCAGTCTTATCTATGAAAAATGTAAAACTTTGCTCCTACATGCATATGTACTTCAAGCATCCTTTCTTAAACGATTCGTTACCATTGGAGACATAAAATTCCTATCAAATATTATTTTATTTTAGTTTCCAACAGAGAACAAACACCCTGCTTTGACTTTGTAATGAGATCAGTTATAACAACCAAACTTGCATTTCGCCGCCGCGAAAAATAAACACGACAGGAAAAAAGAAAAGCTTGGAAAATCCTCATTAAATCATGTATATAACAAACAAAGGTATAAAATAATGTTCTTACCTGTCTGGCCATCATAGCAACTAATTTCTTCTTCTCGTCCGTGGGAAGAGCTTTTAAAGCAAGAACCTCCTCAATAAAATTTTCAATCTCTCGAACATATTTATTCTGAACTTTTTTCACTGCTCGATGAAACTGCTCGCGGTCGACCCGTATAAACTCGCTAACTTCTATAGTTCGTATGCTATCAGGCGGTGGATAATCAAATTCTGGACCATCTCCGGACACTAAGCCCAGATATTCCCCTGCCACGTGAGTATAGTTTATATCACAGTCATTTGGGTTTTTCGGCGAGTTCTCGCCTTGACTAAAAACACCGTTGCTTATCGCATACCTTGCTTCCACTGAACCGTTCAAAATGTAATAACAAGACAAGCATTTCTCTCCATTTTTCTTGAAGATGTCGACATCTGCGTCGAATTTTTCGTACGTGACAACAAAGCACAGAGCTTCCTTAAGGAACTGGAGGCCTTTGTGTATGTCCTTCAACGCCGATACAACTGGTTTTATCGTGTGAAGTTCCTCGGTCGATCGCCTTTGGCTTAGAGGACGTTGCAAAATGTAGAGAATTTTGTCCGTTAGTACAATGCCCGCTTGCGCTTTAAAAAGCCTCTTGTTGAAAACAGGCGGTAGTTTTTGTACAGGAAACTGTGGCCGTGTTTTACACAAAATTGACATCATAAAACATGTACAGTCCAAACTCAACTCAGCGATGACTTTGACATCAAACGCTTCACTTCACTCTTGGCTGTATATCGCCTTTCCATTTTATAAATTTAACGTTTCATTCTTGATTGGAATGTTAACTTTTCGCTGTCATTTTAAAGGTGAAACGCCAGTTGATATTTTGCGACTACGCCATAAACAAATCTCGTAGCCAAGCGAAGGTTATGCAAATGACGTTCCTCTAAGCAGGTGTAACACTCCATTATGCGTTTGTAACGTCAGGTTTTTGTCAATAATTATCACTACATTATAAGGAATTGCCTCCTTCTAGAATAAGATTTATTACTATACCCCCATCAGGATCAGCAAATAACTGATATGACACTCCTGGCTGGTCAATAATAAGCTTATCCAATTGAAGAAAGTTATTTCATCGGAAATCTCTTCTTTAATATGCAAATTTCGTTTAATATACATTATTTCTCGGTCGCACTATTAATATATGGATTTAGCCGGGGCTAAAAACGGAGCTCTGGTTAATATACTTATAAACAAAAATAAATAAATAAATCGTGTAATGCTAAACGGGTACGGCAATGAAAGTGGCATCAAGATCAATAGATCTAATTAGCAAAACAACAAATTTGCACGTGCAGCACACTTTTTTTCTATGATTAGCCAAAAACAAATTTGCACATGCAGCGCTCTTTTTGTCTTTCTTTGCCGATGTTTTGCACGACTATAATACCGTTTTGTACGACTAAAACGTCAAACGTCCTAGTTACACTTTATAGTTTGAGGAGGAATTGTCGTATGTGCTTACCAAAGATTTTGTTTCCTGTGTTCATGTTCGCTTTCATTTTTTCACTGCCGCTCATTTTCACTTGGCCGCTAGCATTTCTCATTTTCTCATCGCCGTTATGAAAGTTTTTCTTCCGACAAAATCCGTCTCCCTAGCTCTTTCTCTGTTATCCACGTGAGTGTAAACATCAACAATAACGTCGAAAAAGACACGACTTTGTTAGTTTTTTTTTTCTCTCTAAAAGCAGGAGCCCATAGAAGTCAGGCGGCGATGCGATTTTCTTCCATTGCATTTGGGTTGCCGCACCTGTTGATTGAGTTATTTCATATGGTAGGCCTGTGGTGCGGACGGATGGTCGGTTGGTCACTCGGGCGGTGTATGGTCACGTGATTACCAAATTTTCTAGGATGGGTAGATTTACTTAGGTACGGGGCTCCGCAAGCGGGGGTTTGTCCCCCCCCCCCCCCCCCGGAGACTGCTTTACAAACTCTCAAACTACGGAATCAACAACGTTACCTTAACTTGGTTAAAAAGATTTCTGTCAATTAGGAAACAATGGGTAGTTCTTGAAGGGGCAATGTCTGATCAAGTTCCAGTGTCATCGGGAGTCCCACAGGGCTCTCTATTAGGTCCCATTTTATTCTTAGCCTATTTTTTAAAAATTTAAGTACGCGCGAGCAGTCAAACAAAAGGTCTGGAACGAGGCTGAAAACTGAGAGCGAGACTGGGAAGAGACGCTTTTTTCCCTCTCGCCTCACACATGGCTCGCGCACTTCGCGCGCGTAAGACTATTACGCCACGCTTTACCGATTTCTTTACTGATTTTGAGAAAAAAAAACCGACTGTTTTGCAGTCTACTATGTTGCCCAGTATCCGGGAAGCTGGCCCAGTATTCAGACACAACGTAATTGTACATAAATTTCGACAGACAAGCGACTTAC